CCTGAACCCCATGCTCTGGGACACAGGAATATGCTTTCCTCTAATGTGAGCGGCACCAAAAGAAATATAACAGGGCTTTAAATATGGTTAAGCTCTTTTGACTCCTATATAACAAAGTAAATGTGGTAAAGCGTCACTTTTTAAAGCTCACCCAATCAGGTGCAAGGAGAATTAAAAACAAAATGCATTGTAGCTTGCACACGATTGGATAATGGAAATCAGCAGAGCCTTACCACAGTTACTAAGCTCTGGGGAAAATGAATTCAACATTATAAATAACAAGCAAAAAAGGTATTGTACTGGCCCTATAAATATGCAATCACAAATAATAACTCATGGGTAAAAATTGCCTTACCGTTATTATTCAATATAGTAAAATTGTGCAAAAAACAGTGCAAAAGTGACAAATACAAATCAAATGAACACAACTGACAAGCATAGACCTAAATATCTGTATGTAGCGCCCTCTAGTATAGATATTTAGTGTAGCCACAGTCTTGCTAGAAGCCTGGGTGTGAGTCAGAGGGTTACTTCAGTATAGGCTGGAGGGCCCTACAGGTAAGTTCTCCGGTGCCTCCCCCTGCTCTAGAAGTTTGGAGAAGCTTCTAGAAGTCAGTAGGTGGAAGCTAGGAGAAGCTGATCTGCATATTTATGGGAGTCTGACCATTTCCCGACAGGAGGCCTGACAGTGTGGCAGGCTGGCCAATAAATATGACTTGGCCAGGAAATGGAAGTTGTATGTAATATGGAGGGTAGAAGTGCTGATGTGTAGCCTTGGAGGGGGTCCCGGAGAAGGGGGGTTATGCTTCCAGGCTAGAGGTTGGAGAAAGAAAGGAAACTGAAAGAGGCCGCTCCACTTCCCTGCAGTCCACCAGGAGAATGGAAAGCCTGGAAAACACCAGCCCAGTGGAAGGCCTGAAAGCAGCACTATCCACACAGCTGCAGAACAAAGACAGTATGAGTACTTCTACACCCCCAGGGCCTATAAGGGAAAAGTCAGCTAGATGTAAGTTCTTGGCAAGTCTTCAAGGGACAGTCTAATGTTTACCCAGTCCTTTGTCCTCAGATCAGATACCATAGCCAGGTGGACCCAGAACTCCTACAAGTTGTCACAAAAAATCCACTCTGAGGGCACCAATTTACTAGGAGGGGATTACTTTGCTAAAGACTGTTGTGGTTCCAGCTGGAACACAATCAAATATCTGTAATTTTTTCAGTGTGCTAGAGAAGGAAACTGTCCTTCTCCTTCAATCAAGTTGGGCATCCCATAACCACTTTACTCTATCCAAGTTGAATTCCCTAATAAATCCTAAAAACCAAGCAAATGGACTGTTTCTTGTGTCTGGAAAATGCATGTTGCTGGGCTGTGCAGGAAATAATGGGGACCCAAAGCTTTCAAGGGGGTAGCACTACACGTATAGTGAGAACAATAGTAAAAATCCAGCATCAGCTGTGTATAATGGAGCCAGGGACCCTCTCCTTCACCAGGGCCGGATCTGGCCTGTCTAATATGGGGGCACAGTAAAAAATGTCAGTGTGGCAGAGGATGGGAGGGCAGTGTACAGGATGTCAGCAGTTTTTGTAGGAGAGAGTTCGGGGGTCAGTGGTAAGTGACGCAGAGTTCAGGGGGTCAGGTGTAACTGACGCAGAGTTCAGGGGTCAGTAGTAAGTGACACAGAGTTCAGGGAGTCAGGTGAAACTGACGCAGAGTTCAGGGGGCAGTAGTAGATGACACAGAGCAGATTTTTATGTAAAACATAATGTATAGAATGCAAGGAGTAACATACAAAAAAACAACATATAGAGTACAACATCAGGTTGAGCTTACCTCTTCACATCAGATTCCCCACTTACATCAAGAATCACCATTAGAATTCCTCCTTTACCAAGAGTGCCCCCCCCCATCCGCAACCTCAGGGTTCCCAGAATAATCCTCCTTACATCCGGGTTCCCAGAGTAATCTCCCTTACATCAGGGTCCCCACGGTCACTACCTAACATCAGGGTCCCCAGTGCCCCCCTTCCCCCACCTCTTACATTAGGATCCCCAGAATAACCCCCCACACATCAGGGTCCTCGGAGTAATCCCCCTTACATCAGGATCCCCAGAGTCCCCCTGCCCCCCCTCAACATAGGGGTCCCTGGGGTTTCTCAGCCTTATCTCGGGGTCTTCAGAGCCCCCCTAACATTAGGGTCCCTAGAGTCACCCCACTTACATCACAGTCCCTAGAGTCACTCCCTCAAAGGAAAGCCCCCAGAGTTTCACTAGTTACATCAGGTCCCCAGAGTCCCTCCTTTACATCAGGGTACCCCTCATCCTTACATCAGGGTCCTAAGAGCCCCTCTTGAATTATAGGCAGCAAGAATGAAAGATAAAATGAAGGGGGTGTATCTAAAGCTGGCCATAGACAGATCAAAATATGGCAGGTTCAGCCAGAAATAGCTGAATTTTGACTCCTGTATGGGCAGACTGGTTGTACTGAAGCTGATCTATTTATTGACCCAGCTTGTCTGGGGTTTTTTTGTACGATTACTGATGGTGGCTTTCGCTGCAGGCGGTGATTAGTGTATTCTGACAGCTGGGGAAACTCTCACTATCAGAAATCAATATCTCCACTGGAGGGATTCCCCCATCAAGACAGACTGTGTTGATGAGGGAATCAAGTGATTTTCTTTCCTTCAGCCTGGGGATTGAAGGAAAGAAAATTGCATAATGTATGGCTTGCCTAAGGCCGGCCATACATTACACAATTTTCTTGAGATTTTTGCTTTAGATTTACCAAAAACCATATAATACGAGATCAAACCTAACAAAACTTTCAATTGTATCCAATTAGGCAGAGTCTTGCACTACATAGTTGAAGGTAAATCTAAGGGAAATTGGGCAGAAAATTGTATTGTGTATGGCCAGCCTAAGAGTAGCCAAACAATCAATTGCACAGAAGTAAAGGGTTAAATGAAAGTAAACTTGCTCACCTGATAACAGAACCTTCAGTGTACACACCCTTATTTACTGCCCAGCTGATTGTGTACCACCACTCTATACTGACAGGTCCGGCAAGCAGGCATGAATGATCAGCCGAGCTGACTGTCAGTGTGCAGCGATCGTTCAGTATAGAGTGGAGGTGGAAATACATAATCAGTCTGGCATATGCAGTTTGCTTTTGACCCATTTCTGTGTTGCATTTTGCTTTTTTGATGAGTTTTTGTTTTTTTTCTTGTTGCTAGGCAGATTTAAAACGCATCAGAACGCACTTCATGCTTTTCTGCAGCGTTTCCATTGAAGTCTACAGAACCAAAAAAAAACACACTTTTTGTGTTTTTAAAAAAAAGTCCCTGAAACTTTCCAAAAAACGCACCAGGTGAAACTGCTGAGATGTGAACCTGTCCCATAAGAAATCATGTCAAATTGACTGTACTGTGTTTCTGAAAAATGCTGCGGAAAACGCTTAGGTGTGAACCTAAGGTAAATCAAGCTGTGTGCATAGAGAGTTCTGTGATCAGGGGATATTTCCTTTAAATTCCAGATTGTATTCTGTGTTTTTTTTTACAAGGAATTAAGAGCTGAGGGAGTTCTCAACGGGACCTTGCCTCTATGCAGTGCACCTTCCTTGTCACGTTCCTGGAAGACATAGTTAGCAGCTGGGCACAGTGTCTTGGGGTAGAGGCAGGAGGGGGAGGGTGTTTGCTTTGGTGGAGCACAACTGAAATCTAGGGGGGCACAGCCCACCCCAGCATCCCCTTAGATCTGGTCATGTCCTCCACCATCATGTACATGCCTATTAGGACTGCCAGCGGCATGCCAGCACATATTGCTTAGGCAGGATCCACCATTGTCACCATGTGGAACTTGATCTAGAGCAGGGGTCATCAAACATTCTAAACAAAGGGACAGTTTATTGTTCTTCAGACTTTAGGGGGGGCGGACTGTGGGCAGTGGAAGTAGGAAATTCCAATGCATCATTGGGAGTAAACCATGCCTCAGGCTTGGTGGTCAGTGGAGGTAAAAAAAAAAAAAAAAAAAAAAATTACCTAGCGCATGTGGTAAGTAGGATTAGGAATAGTGCCCCATCATTGTTAGCGGAAGCAATAGTGCCCCGTTGATGGGTGTTAGTGGAAGGAATAGTACCCTGTTCATGGTATCAGTGGGAGGAAAAGTGCCCTGTTGATGGGTATAAGTGGGAGGAAAAGTGCCCTATAATTGGTGTTAGGGGGAGGATTAGTGCCCCATCAATGGTATCAGTGGAAGAAATGGAGGCCTTTCATTGTTAGTTGAAGGAATATTGCCCCATCAATGGTATCAGTGAGAAGAATAGTGTCCAATTGATGGTATTATTGAGAGAAATAGTGCCCCATCAATGGTATCAGTAGGGGGAATAATGCCCCATCGTTGATGGGTTTCAGTGGGAGAAATTGTGCCCCGTTGATGGGTATTAGTGGGAGGAAAAGTGCCCTATAATTAGTGTTAGGAGGAGGATTAGTGCCCCATCATTGGTATTCGTGGAAGGAATAGTGCCCTATCATTGGTGTTAGGGGGAGGAATAGTGCCCCATCAATGTTATTAGTGGCTCATCATTGTTGAAGGAATATTGCCCCATCAATGGCATCAGTGGGAGAAAGCGTCCCATTGATGGTATTATTGAGAGAAATAGTGTCCCATCGATGGTATCAGTAGGGGGAATAATGCCCCATCGTTGGTGTCAGTGGGAGGAATGGTGCTTCACTGTTGATTACCTTTGGAGGAGCCTTGTATCAGTGGGAGAAATGGTTCCACAAAGGTCAGATAAAGACAAGCAAAGGGCCGCAGTTTGGAGACCACAGATCTAGAGAAATGATGTACTGCCAATGTTGGAATAAGTACATGTGGACAGGAAATGGCTGAAAAAGGCTGTAGCAGCACTTGGATAACAAAGGATAAAAAAGGATTGTTTAATATGGTGCTTCAGCACTGTAAATGTTTAAATGTGGTTTCTGTGTCTTTGCAGGTTGTGTGTAGTCAGCCTGAAGAGTATAACCGCCTGAGAAGTATATGTAATGGTACAAATGAAGGACCCCTACTGCGAAGCCCTGGTCGTCACGACAGAAACCGGACCCCCGGTTGCCCACTTCAGCAGATGTGGAAGCCTGTTTATCCTTAACAAACTATGAAACTGGTGCCATGGATCGATCTGCCAACTTCAGCTTTAGGAACACTTTAGAAGGTAGGGATATATCTCAGATTGTTCAGAAGGACGTAGAAGAATGACTTCAAACACCTTCTCATGGCTGGATGAGAACAGTTGGCAGCATTTGCACCCCCATTATTCCTGGGTTTTCTAGGAAAAAAAAGTTTCTGTGAAAGGGCCAATCATAGCCTAAACAAGAGTATATTTAAGTCATTGTAAACACTTGCATACCCACTGTAGTGACTAGTCCTGGGTGATACAGAGATGAAACATATCCTCTTACATAAGTTGTACCTGTTCATCTGTAGCCCTCTCTCCTGTACAGCCTATGAACGTTTTGACTGTTGACCATGAGAAAACGCAAGACCACAGTAAAAATATGGTGCCGCGATTTGCTTTTTCCCGCAGCCGGCAGTCAGGGTAGGCTTGTGTACATGAAGCTTTATGGTGTCACCTATTGGACAGGGGAGTTTAGAGAGATGTGGCTTCAGAGAGAAGTTGGATTAGAAGAAATAAACTAGTAATGAGAGGTTGAGTGGTGAGGCCTAGCCCTGGAGGGGAAATTGTAGGTAAACTTGCCACTGGTGTATGAGTATGAACTGATAATCAAGGAAGAGTTTACATGGCATGTGGATTTCTTGCAGGTTTTACCCCTTTCCTGCTGTTTTGGATGGAGCCATTTGATTTAGTTATGAAATTGATTAGGTATGAAATTTTGTATATAAACATTTTTTCTATTTTTTTTTTTTTTTTTTGACCAGGGTATGCTATTCCAACCTCAGGAATCGCTAACCGATCACAGAGCAGTATGCACAATTCCCTTCACGTTTACTTGAATGGCTCTATGTCCAATGTTCAGGGATCTGCAAACGACCCAATTTTTGTTCTTCACCATGCGTTTGTTGATAGGTAAGTCTGCAGCAATTTTGCCAGTGATGTAAATCACAATCCTCTTCATGTAGTAGTCACGGGAACCTTGAAAAGCCTTGGCTGCATTGTCTCATAGTTACTATTGGCTATTTTATTTAATTACTATGTTGATTACATTGATGTAGTATATAGACAGGATGGTTCCCTTCAGTGGAAAGTAGAGCTATATCGTAAATTGGTGAAATAGCCAGGCAGTTCAAACTATGATGAATATAATCCATAAACAATGGTGACCTTTATTGAAAAATGCCTGTCTGAGCCATCAGGAGCTGCACTGATATAGACAGATAAAGGTATAAATTTAAATTTCAGTTTTTCCTCTGAACAAAAATTTAGATATGGCCAAACTCTTCAAGGTTCTTGTATTATGATGATGATTATTATTATACAGGATTTATATAGCACAGACAGTTTGCACAGCGCTGTTAGAGGCAGGATAGGCTTCTCTAAAGAGATGGGTTTTCAGCGAGTCACACCAAATCTGACTTTGAAATCGTGTGTGTGACTTCACTTGAATGTGCACGATTTCAAAGTCAGATGCCAGTCCCACTTCAGGTGCAACTTGGAAGACATCTCTGAAACTTCATGCACAGATGTCTAGGCAAGTCGCACCTGAACTTGCAGAAAAGTAGTGCATGAGGTACTTTCAAAGTCAGTGCGACCTCGACGGAGTTGGAATCGCACCAATATGACCTCTTTCATTGTGGACAATAGGGTGCGACTTGTCATGCAATTTGAAATGATCAAGTCGCACTGGTGTGACCGGGGACTAAAGGTGGATAGAGTGGGAGATAGCAGGACAGATTGGGGTAGGGAGTTCCAGAGGCATGTGAGTAGGTGATGAGAGAGCTAGAGAGCATGTGGTCTTGGAAGGAGTGGCTTCCTGTCTTATTGGTCTTTTTTATTTGATGGGTGACCTCACTGAACAATACAGAGCTTCAAGAAGTGGCTGGCAACCTCTTCTTTTTTCTGTAAATAAAAAAAAAAAAGTGTATATTACTACAGCTGCCTGTACAGTATATCTAATCTACTGATTGATTTGCAGGGGTGTATATACAGGGGATTGCCATTGCGACCCAGCCCCATGCTCCAGGGAGCCTGTGCGGCCCCCCTGTACAGCTGAATAGGGGGGGCACCAGAGACAGCGTCATATAGAGGATCCGATCTTGCCATGCAACCACTGAATTCCCACTTTGCCGCTAGTAAAAACAAAAGAAACAACAGTTCCAGACAATCAGTTGTGTCTTATGTCTCATACTCTTCACATACCTCTCCAGAATGTCAACTCCCTGTCACAGCAGCCAAACTACTCCATCAAAGTCTCTTCTCTGCTCCTACTGTACCTCAAGACCATTTGCCCTTATATCCTCCAATACATCAGACTGCAGCATCTCAGCTAGCAGCAGACACTGGTGTGTATTTAATAGACCGTCCATCATACTTTGCCACCAACAGAGTACCTCCTAGCAAACGCACCACTCTACAAACCAACATACCAATGAATTTTAAGCCACCTCCGGCATTGAATGCCTTAGCAGCAAGTCACTCCACGTAAGTCCTCCAACCATCACAACCAACTCTGTTCCACCTGCAGTCATGCACCCAAAATATGAAAACACGGACATGCCACAGTTTGCTAAATACATGCTCCGCAGAGAGCTTCTTAAGACAGGCCTCACCAAGTTTGATGACAAAATTACAGAGGCTGGAAATCTACTTTTAAGGCCACAATGAGTGACCTAGACATCAATGCCACAGAGGAATTAGATCTACTCATCAGATGGCTAGGTCCCCAGTCTACTGAATGCATCAAGAGGCTCAAAGCAGTTCATATTGACAACCCTGCTGCAGGCCTTAATGCTGCTTGGGACAGACTTGAACATACCTTTGGCAGCCCAGAGGCCATTGAAGATGCTTTATTCAAAAGGTTGCAAAGCTTCCCAAGGATTTCTCCTAGCGACAATCTAGTTTCAAGAACTCAGCGATGTTCTATTAGAGCTTCAGCTTGCTAAGGCTGACATCAACTTACCTGGTCTCAGTTACCTTGACACCTTTCATGGCATCAAATTGTTCTCAAGCTACCATATGGAATTCAAGAAAGATGGGCAGCGCTTGGATCAAAGTATAAGGAAGAACAGAGAGTTGCCTTTCCTCCTTTTTCCTACTTCTTCGAGTTCATCAAAAGAATTGCAGACACTACGAATGACCCAAGTTTCTCATATGGGGACTGTAACCTCAGTACACTCTCTCCAAGATCTACGAACACACGTATGTCACATAGAGACCGTAGAGGTCCAGCGTTCGTGAAAAGGACTAATGTTCTACCTGCACCTGCTACAGTTCTTGAAAAGACTGATCAAAAAAAAAGAAATGAGGACCCAAATTGCCAGTGTCCAATACATAACAAACCACATCCACTTAAGAAATGTATCGGCTTCAGAAAGAAGACCCTCCAAGAACGTAAGGAACGTTTGAAGAAATTTGGGGTTTGCTACAAATGCTGTGCCTCCACAAAACACTTTGCAAAGGACTGTAAAGCAATCATTAAATGTATAGAGTGTGACAGTGATGACCATGTGCAAGCTCTTCATCAATATTCGCACAAATCTACTTCGCTCACAAACCATCTTCCTGAGGCAAAGCAAGGCGGGGAGCGCCCAGATCAAGCAGCACCTACCACCCCAGTGTTGTCTACATGAACAGAGGTCTGTGGAGAAGGATTCTGTGCCAAATCTTGTGCAAAGATATGCTTGGTCCGTGTATACCCCAAAGGTCAACCTGAAAAGGCCATAAGACTGTATACTATTCTGGATGATCAGAGTAACAGATCTCTTGCAAGAACACAGTTTTTTGAACTGTTGAACATAACTGGAGATGCTCTGCCTTATACTCAAAGCACTTGTTCCGGCACTACAGAAGTCTTAGGTAGGAGAGCCAGTGGTCTTGTAGTTGCTCCCCTGAATGACAATGTGGAAATATCTTTGCCCACTGTCAGGCTCCGCCCAACGGGATCTCTAGTGGTCCACAGCACGGGGTTTCCCAGGACGCAGGGTCTAAGTCCCAGTCTGCCTTTTCACCAGAGCCCCTGATGGTGGGGATGGACTTGGTGCAAGACTGGAACCAGGTCGCGTCCCTGGGCACCCCCGGCGGTGGCAGAGGGGTCCCGCTGAGGGTATGTGCCCGGGATGAGTCTGCTGTGAAGGGGATGACAGACCCCGATCCGAGCGGGATGGATGGGATGACAGATCCCGATCCAAGCGGGATGGATGGACGACTGCTAGGAGTGAGCGAGGTCAGACTAGCCGGGTCGGTATCGTGCGGGCAGCGTGGTACAGGAGGAGCAAGCGGAGAATGGTTGGGGTCACAAGCCAGGTTCAGCAGGTAGCGGGCAGCGTGGTACCGAGGGTCAGGCAGAGGGATGGTCAGGAACGAGCCGGGGTCAGAGCAGGAGAGGGTCAGCGTAATCAGAACAGGCAGAGTTTGGCAACAAGGAAACGTACTAGCAGGAACACAGGAACAAGACCTTGCGGCACTTTGGAAATGCACAGGGCAGATTTAAATAGGGCGTCCTGTGTTTCCATTGGTGCGGCCGCGATTGCTACTGCGCATGCGCGGCCGCTGCCGCGATCTCTGTGTTCGCCGGCCAGGAAGAATTGGCGATCTGCGCATGCGCGCGATGCCGAGCGGCCGGGATCCCTGACATTGCCCCCCTCCTACGGGCAGCCTCTGGATGCCCAACCGACCCCTTCCTAATGCCAGGTTCCGAAAAAATTTCTGCACCAGTCTTGGGGCGTGCACATTTTGGGCCGGCTCCCACGAATTTTCTTCCGCCTCATATCCCTTCCATTTCACCAGAAACTGAGTCTGGCCTCCCCTTTTCCTACAATCCAGGATAGCCTTAACTTCAAATTCCTCCTCCCCATCCACGTTTACTGCCTCCGGTGGTTTAGACCTTCGATCCGAGAAGGGGTCTGGAGTTGCTGGTTTCAGTAGAGATACATGGAAGACCGGATGAATCTTCATAGATTCAGGCAGTGCGAGCTCGTATGCTACCTCATTGATCCTGCGTTTGACCCGAAACGGGCCCAGGAATTTGGGAGCCAATTTCTTCGATGGGCAGGACATCTTTAAATTTGTGGTGGACAACCAAACCTGGTCCTCCGGCCGCAAACTCAACTCCCCTCTTCTTTTTTTATCAAAAGCCCTCTTATTGCTCTCCTGGGCCTTTGCCATCGCCTCTTGGAGCAATTTGCTATTAGAGGATAAAAAGCCCAGCATGTCCTGCGTGGCCGGGACCGTGACTTCCGGAATCAAATCCGGTAAAAAAGTGGGGTGGAACCCATAATTTGCGAAAAAAGGAGCCTGGCCTGTAGCAGAATGACTCGCGTTATTATAGGCGAACTCCGCTAGCGGCAGGAGGGTCAACCAGTCGTCTTGGAGGAAGGTAGTGTAGCATCTGAGGTACTGCTCAAGTGTCTGATTTGTTCGTTCTGTCTGGCCGTTTGTTTGTGGGTGATATGCAGAGGACAATGACAGTTTAATTCCAAGCGTCTCACATAGAGCTTTCCAAAATCTAGACGTAAACTGAACCCCCCTATCTGACACAATATCCTTGGGGATTCCGTGGAGTCTCACCACCTCCCTGATAAAAACCTGTGCGGTCTCATGGGCTGTCGGTGTGTCCTTTAAGGGTACAAAATGAGCCATCTTGGATAACCGGTCTACAATCACAAAGATTGCTGTGTGTTCCTGGGAGGGTGGAAGCTCTACAATAAAGTCAACAGAGATCATGCTCCAAGGTCTGTCAGGTATTGGTAGTGGGCGTAATAGGCCCCAGGCCTTGTTTCTGGTAGTTTTATTCCTCTGGCACACGGTGCAAGTCTTAACATATTTCTCGCAATCCCTGGCCATAGTGGGCCACCAAAAGGTGCGTTGCAATAGTTCCAGGGTCTTGCGTATTCCAAAATGTCCCGCTAACG